TATCATTAATAAAAGTTAATAAAAGTAATCATTCCAACTACTTGACTAAGGGGTCTCATTTTGCCAGGTAATCCTTTTACCATTAACTGAGATTGAGTTCTTAACGTTTTTGGTTTCATGGGTGGATTTTGGGGGAGTCCATGAACCTTCTGATATATCTTAAATTTTTGTCTATATGTTCACTTCTCCTGGAAAAATTTCCAGAGCTTTCATTCAATTCCAAAAGAGTCAATGTCCCCAAAATGTGAAGAATCACTGGTTTAGAGAGTGAATATGTGGTGTGAATCTTTAAAGTCGAAAATCTCATATATTTTCTGGTTATGAATTCATCATGTATGCATGTGTTAAGGAAACTTTTTAATAGATCCAAATGTTTTTGGACATTAAAAATAATTTATAGTCTTCTTTATTCTGCAGATCATATTAATCTAAGTGTATTTTCAATGTATCAAGGGATACTCATTCTCACTAAAATAAATAAAAAATATAATATAAAATAGAAATAAATATATATGTATATATTTCATATGTATGTATGTGTCTCTTTCTTACAGAGAAAGCATATGCTACTGCTATAAGAATCCTGAACGGAATCCGAAGATTCTGCTTTGAACCCAGTTTTATTTTATTTTTTTAAAGATTTGTTTATTATTTATTTATTTATTTATTTGACAGACACAGATCACAAGTAGGCAGAGAGGCAGACAGAGAGAGAAGGAGGGGAAACAGGCTCCCTGCTGAGCAGAGAGCGCGATGTGGGGTTCGATCCCCGGACCCTGGGATCATGACCTGAGCCAAAGGCAGAGGCTTAACCCACTGAGCCACCCAGGTGCCCCTTGAACCCAGTTTTAGCACTGACTGGCATATATGACCTGGAACAAAATCACCTTGGCTCTTGGGGCTTCTGTTCTGTCATGTGGAAATGTTTAAATACTGCTCAATAAAGTTCATTGTATGATATATATTTATGTGCAGATTTCAGATCAGTATCTCTGAAAAGAGTGTGGGGCCTACCTAGACTTTTCCAGTATGTCAAGGTCAATCTGTTATTTCTGTCATCAGGTGCTTATTTGACTAATAGTTATCCAAATGTTATCATGCTATTATTCTCCAATGTGTATGGCCAGCTGTGCCTATATCTTTCTATCAATTTTTCAACTAGTTGAAGTAATATGACTTGTTATTAACATTTTCCTTAATCTTGTTAGGCAACTGCTTGAGAAATTTGATACCCTGTTTTGTCTTAAAATCTTCCAAAAGAGCTATGAGTATTTGAGACAAAAGTGGACGTGACAGTACCTCTGGAACATTACAGTTTAAACCACGTATAAAGTGCTAATGCATAATTTTACTGTGAATTTCATAATTGTTCAACTAACTTCTGTCATTTTCACTTTCTTACTCATATTTAAATGATCATGTATAAAACACAGAATTTATTACTTTTGCATGTTTTAGTGATTTCACATAGTTTTTTAATAAGACAGTCAGTATGGTGGAGTACTAAATATCGGGTCTCTGAAGACAGACAGAGGTCTAATCTGGCTCTATCCCTGGCTGGCAGTGCAGCCCTGGCCTATTGGTTAGTCTTTCTGAGCTTCAGGGGTTTTTCCATTGGAAACAATAAGTACCCAATAAATGTTAATCGTATGTTTATTCCCCTTAGCATACTGTACTAAGAAGTCTGTACAATAGATCACTAGGCAAATCTAATCTTCATAAGGAAAGGTTCAAACACGTTGAGTTTGTTGCACCTATTAATAGCTGGCAACATGCATGGCATATGGGAAATTCTCAATAGACAGGAGTTGAGTTAGTTAATTAATTAATTAGTATATGATGAGTATTTTAAGCTACACTGACTCTGGGTTTTTAAAATTCCATCATCACCTAGCCATGTGGTTTAATTAATATGTAGAGAACTGCCCCTCCTCAGTGACTATATCCAGTCCCAAATTACTTATTCTCATGGAGAGGCAAAGGAGCACTACTCACCATTACTGCCCTCCCACTATCACCCTATTATTCTGACTTCCTTCTATTCGCTAATCAAATCCTGATGCTCCCACTACTAATCACCACCATGTTCCACACATTGTCAACACTTTCTAATCATTACAAATTTGATAATTATGATACAGGAATCTATGGACATGTTAATGAGCATTTTTTTTTCTTTTTTTTTTTTAGAAAGAGAGAGAGAGAGATCACAGGTAAGCAAAGAGGCAGGCAGAGAGAGGGGGAAGCAGGCTCCCAGCTGAGCAGAGAGCCCGACATGGGGCTCGATCCCAGAACCCTGAGATCATGACCTGGGCCAAAGGCAGAGGCTTAACCCACTGAGCTACCCAGGTGCCCCTAATGAGCATTTCTTAAGTGCCAATAAGATGGGGCATACTTTATTGGGTATGAGTATTTTGGATGAACTATTTGTTCATGTACTCACCCATTATTTAACTGTTCAATTGTTTGCTCTTTTCCTATGAATTTGTTGCATTTATTTACTTATTTTAATCTGATCCTTCTTGGATAGGTCAACAGTGATTAAAAAGAATCACTGTGTAACTCAAAGGAAGGACAGGCTAGTTATAATACCCTCGCTTAAAAAACCAAGGGACTTGCTCCTTGCCTTGTCAAACTCTCTTGCTTTAGACAGGCATCTTGTTCTTTGATTAAGTGCCACCAGCCTTAGCTTTCCTGGAAGCTCATGATTCCCCACATTTTACAGTCACCATAGCATACATCAATACACACTGAACATTTTGGAATTTACAAACATTCATAAAGGCCAATATCTGGGAATGGAAAACTGACTGAAAAATCTTTTTTATTATTATTAAAGATTTTATTTATTTATTTGAGAGAGCAGACACAGAGAGAGCACGAGTGGCCAGTGTTGGGGGAAGGGGCAGAGGGAGAGGGAGTAGCAGGCTCCCCACTGAGCAGGGAGCCTGAGGTGACTCACTCTCAGGACACTGGGATCATGACATGAGCTGAAGGCAGAAAGCAGACCCTTAAGAGACTGAACCACCCAGGTGCCCCCGATTGAAAAATCTTATACAACAAGTCATTATTTTGGGGGATTACAGTGGTATATCTATTTCATGTTTAAGTGAAGTCACATAACTTGCTGGTCACTATCCTGAGAGCAATACCTGTAACTATCACAGAAGAACGTCATAAATTATGTTATCAGGTTTGGTTGATTTGCCAAGGTAAAATACGTATAGTCAAGGCTCACTTATTTGTTATAAAATCTGGAAAAGGGATCATTTGTACACAGGCTTAAAGTTTTTTGTTGTAAAAAAAAGTTTAGTTTTTATTTTTTAAAAGAGAAAATAAAAGACTTTTATTCTTGATGTTTTACCTGGTATTTTGTACTCAGTATTTATACAGTGTACAAAGAGTTTATTAAACCAGAGATAAATAAAGGAAATGAAGACACTGAGTTCAAAATGCACATCTGAGCCTAGTTTACCTGACAGAAACCCTTTCTAAAATAGATCCACTTTGGGATGCCTGGGTGGCTCTGTTAGTTAAGTGTCTGCTTTTGGCTCAGGTCATGATCTCAGGGTCCTGGCAGGGAGCTCTGCATCAAGCTTCTTGCTCAGTGAGGAGCCTGCTTCTCCTTCTCCGTCTGCCTGCTGCTCCCCTGTTGTGTTCTCTCTCTCTCAAATAAATAAATAAAATCTTAAAAAAAAACTAGATCCATTTTATATTCTTTAATCCCTTACACGTGTATAATAGCATATGATGTTCAAAGCACTTCTGCACAATTAAATTCAACTGATCCTTTATATCTTTCCTCCAGTTGTTAATTAAACCAAGACTCAGAGATGTTTAAGTACTGATACATGACAGACATAAACTTAATAATAACAGAACAATAATAATGGCCAACTTTATTAAGCAGATACCTCATTTCAGGCAATCTGATGAGGGCTTTCTATTTAATGTGTCATTTAGTCCTTAGACTTAGCTGGAGAATTTATTATTATTATTTCTACTTTTAGTCATTTAGTCCTTATACTTAGCTGGAGAATTTATTATTATTATTTCTACTTCCATTTTATAGAGGTTCAACTAGTAAATGTCAGAGTGATTTTAACCCAGGTAGTCTGATTCCAGAGCCCTCACATCCTTTTAATCATGATGCTATACAGTCTACTTCCCAGTGAATATTTATTAATTTTTCTCTTTTCTTCTTTCACCTCACCAATTTTCTTCCTGCTTTTACCATTAATGCTGAGGGAAAAAAACCCACAACCCTACAAAAATCTATAATCATCTCAATAAACACAGAAAAGGCATTTGACAAAGTACAACATCCATTCATGATTAAAAAAATTAAAAAAAACCAAAACTCTCAACAAAGTAGATTTAGAAGGAACATTCCTCAACATAATAAAGGCCATATATGAAAAACTCACATCTAACATACTCAATGGTGAAAAACAGAGAGCTTTTTCTCTAAGATTAGGAACAAGACAAAGATGTCCAGTTATCACTTTTATTCATCATAGTTTTGGAAGTCCTAGCCATAGCAATCAGACAAGAAAAAGAAATTGGTAAGAAATTGGTAAGAAAGAAGTAAAACTTAAACTATTTTGCAGAGGGCCTGATACTATATATAGAAAACCCTAAAGATTCAACCAAAAATCTATTAGAACTAATAAATGAATTCAGTAAAGTCACAAGATACAAACTTAATATACAGAAATCTGTTGCAGATCGAAAATGCACTAATAATGAAGTAGCAGAAAGAGAAACTAAAAAAAAAAATCCCATTTATAATTGCACCACAAATAATAAAATAGCTAGGAATAAATTTAACCAAGGAAGTGAAAGACTTGTACTCTGAAAACTATAAAGCATGGATTAAAAGAAAAAAAAAAAAAACATAACTCCACAGATACGGTCAGGATTAGGGATTCATGCTTTCCTCTATTAGCAGTATCAATTGTAATGGGAGACAGAGTAGACAAACTCTTCCAACAACTTACAAGATCCAAAGCAGCTGCCAGGATGGATGCATCAGGAATTGTCCCTGGCTCACAGCAGTTTAACAGAAACTGAAAGCGCTTCATGCCTTGTCGTATCGCTCCAAGATTCACCACGTTTTTGCTTTTTCCACCCTCTTGATTGGAAGACAGATGGTCATCAAAACTGTGGCAACCTGTAGGTTTTTTCCCATGGTGGAAGAATGAAAAAAAAAAAACAGAGTATAACAGATCACAGATTGAAAAAGAGCTTCAAAGTTATAGCATGTTTTCTGTAGTGTTGGCCTGAAAACTTTCTCCCTGACTCCACATCCTTCTTTTCCATCCTAATGCCTGACTGAGACACACCATGACTTTTGGGAATCTGGTGACAAATGGCGTAAGCAAATGCAGAATTTTACATAAAATATTTAAATATAGGATCTGATCATTTTACTTATGGTCTCCTCTTTAACAGTGACAAGAGCTCTTAGCATATTTAAAATGATTCTTCCCATAATCAACAACTAAATGCTATTTTTATCAAAGATGAAATTATTGTACAATTTCATATCTGTTACATAAATTGATATCAAGGCCAATAACTTGGTATTTTAGTTACAATACAAAGAATCACTGACTATTGGAGTTGTAAAGAATCTCAGTGTTTGGTTATTTAATTCCAGGATTTCCAAACCTAGCTATATATCAGAATTACCTAGGAAGTTCCTGAATTTCATCCAGACTTTCAGAATCAGAATTTTTAGAGGTGGAGTATAGGATTTTGTGCTTTGTAAGCCTCCCAGAAGATAATGATGCAGCCAGTCTGACTCAACACTGGGGTCAGAGATTTGGGAACCACTGATCCCTCCCCACACTTACTTTTCCATAGTTTAGCTGCCTATGAATAAGAATCACTTTGGAGCTTATTAAACACAGAATATCAAGCCTCATCCCTAGAGACTTTGATTCCATGTCTGTTTTCACAAACACTCCTTGTGATTTATTAATGCAGAACGTCTAAGGAACATACATTAAGAAGAAATGATACAGAATATGATTTTCATCATTTTTATCCCTAGGTACATTTCATTTTCTTTCTTTTTTATTAACATACAATGTAATTGTGTTACAGGGGTATAAGTCTGTGATTCATCAGTATTACACAATTCACAGTGCTCACCATAGCACATACCCTCCCCAATGTCCATCACCCAGCCATCCCATCCCTCCTACCTCCCTCCCCTCCAGCAACCCTTTGTGTTTCCTGAGATTAAGTGTCTCTTATGGTTTATCTCCCTCTCTGGTTTCATCTTGTTTCATTTTTCCCTCTCTTTCCCTATGATCCTGTCTTGTTTCTGAAATTCCTCATATCAGTGAGATCATATCATAATTGTCTTTCTCTGATTGACTTATTTCGTTTAGCATAATACCCTCTAGTTCCATCCATGTCATTGCAAATGGCAAGATTTTGGGGTTTTGATGGCTGTATAGTATTCCATTGTGTATATATTCCACATCTTCTTTATCCATTCATCTGTTGATGGACATCTAGCTCTTTCCATAGTTTGGCTATTGTGAACATTGGTGCTATAAACATTCAGGTGTACGTGCCCCTTTGGATCACTACATGTGTATCTTTGGAGTAAATACCCAGTAGTGCAATTGCTGGGTTGTAGGGTAGCTCTATTTTCAACTTTTTGAGGAGCCTCCATACTGTTTTCCAGAGTGACTGCAGCAGCTTGTATTCCCACCAACAATGTAGGAGGGTTCCCTAGGTAAATTTTTAAAAACTTAAACAACTCCTGAATTTTCTATAGCTTCTAATATATATTCAAAATGTTTTTTATTTGAGGGGATTATGTTGAATACAGTTTTTATTTTTTTTAAGATTTTATTTATTTGACAGAGATCATGAGTAGGCAGAGAAGCAGGCAGAGAGAGGAAGGGAAGCAGGCTCCCTGCTGAGCAGAGACCCTGATGCAGGGCTCGATCCCAGGACCCTGGGATCATGACCTGAGCCGAAGGCAGAGGCTTTAACCCACTGAGCTACCCAGGCACCCCTGAGTATCCTTTTTAAAGCCATAACCAAGCCCCTTCTCATGATTCTGAAATGTACCTCTGACACCTAAGAATATACCTCTAGGATGAGAATCACTGACTTAGAGCTTGCTTTAATTTCTGCTCAAACCATTCATTTGTGGTTGCCAACTCTTGGTTCTTACTGAGAAGTCACAAATCTGATTTCCAGAAATGACTTTCCCATCTTTTCCATTATGAATACCCTGATCCCTTCCACCCATTACCCTACTTTCCTACCTGCTGCCTCAGCACAAAGGCACATGTATATATGTCTGGGATTTGTTTTAAGAAACATTTGAAAAGCATAAAAGATAGATGAAACAATTATGGAAATTTTGATCATTATTGCAAATGGGTAATGGATATTTGGGACCCATTAGACCATTCTTTTTACTTTTTGTCTGTTTGAAAATTTTCCCAAGTACAAAAAGAATGCCTCATAATATAATTAAAATATCACTGGGGAACCTGGGTGGTTCAGTTGGTTAAGTGTCTGACTTCAGCTCAGGTTATAATCCTGGAGTCCTGGGATCAAGCTCCATGTTGGGCTCTGCACTCAGAGGGAAGTCTGTTATTCCTTCTCCCTCGGACCCTCCCCCTGCACCTTCTCTCTCTCATTCGCTCATTCTCTCTCAAATAAATAAATAAAATCTTAAAATATTATTAAAATTTTCCATATTTCATTTCTTATGGGTATATTTCCTTTTCAGATGCAAATATTCCATATTTAAAATTCCATATTCAACACCCTCAGTATTTTTTTTTTTCCAATTAGTGTGGCACATTTTGTATTAACTGCAAAAGGAAGTAGCACATAATGAATCTGCTGCTGGAAAAAATCTGAAAGTATCTCAAATGACACAAAGTGCATGCAGCTAAAAACTACAGATTAGAAACAAACACTTCTTAGACAGACTTGTTTCTAGACAGCTGCCTTTCAAAATGCTACTCTGTTATTCACTGGGCAATATCAAAAGTACCAGAGCCAGTAATTTCCTGATTTCTCCTACCTATATGTCACTTTATGAATCATTTACATATAGCCCTTTAAGTTACACATATCAGAGGAAATCTCATCTGTTAAAAGAAATTATTAACTTTAGCAGTCCCTGAAACTTTGAATTTAAGATAGACTCCAAATATTTTTCTTTTTAATGAATACAGTTGTTTTGTTATTTGTTATAATAATAAAGATTTATAATACATTAGGTGATAACAGCCTCAAATCTATGATAGAACTAATATGTATGACAAGGTGTATGATCAATAAACTTATTCTTTTTTGAAATATTTTATTTATTTATTTGACTGAGAGAGACACAGTGAGAGAGGCAACACAAGCAGCGCGAGTGGGAGAGGGAGAAGCAGGCTTCCTGCTGAGCTGGGAGCCCAATGTGGGACTTGATCCCACCACCCTGGGATCATGACCTGAGCCCAAGGCAGATGCTTAACAGTCTGAGCCACACAGGCGCCCCTAAATTTATTCTTTTTTTTTAAAAGACTTTATTTATTTATTTCACAGACAGAGATCACAAGTAGACAGAGAGGCAGGCAGAGAGAGAGGGGGGAGCAGGCTCCCTGCAGAGCAGAGAGCCCGATGCGGTGTTCGATCCTAGGACCCTGGTATCATGATCTGAGCTGAAGGCAGAGGTTTTAACCCACTGAACCACCCAGGCACCCCTAAACTTATTCTTTTTTAAAAGGTTTTATTTATTTGCAAGAGAGACAGAGAAAGCATGTTTGGAGGGGGAGGAGGCAGAGGGAGAAACAGGCTTCCCACTGAGCAGGGAACCTGATGTGGGGCTTGATTCCAGGACCCTGAAATCATGACCTAAGCTGAAGGCAGAGGCTTAACTGATAGAGCCACCCAGCTGCCTCAACAAAGTTATTCTTAGTTAACCAATTTATTAAGGATAGCTGCCATCATTTTATTGAAGGAGACATTAAAATAAGCTTTTCATCTTTTTTCTTAGTTATTTATTTGACAAGATAATGAATTCTAAAAGAAGCCTATTTAATATTACCAGAAGTGCCATTTTGATCAAAAGAACTTCAGAAACAAAATGGCTAAGGAATCTAAGTAAAATAATGAAAAGAGAAGTGATCAAAACAATCTTTGTCAGGAAGAACCTATATTTTTTGCTTCACAGAATAATGGATATTGATTACAGGTATGAAGATCAGTAGAATCCTATGATTACAGGCATAAGAATCATGCTTGTAAGTAAAAGCTATTTATAATGGAAAATTTCCCTTGTATCTATATAACATTAATGGATAACCATGTATTTGCTTCCACTTTTGAGCACTTAGTATGTGTTAAGTATTATATCAAATGTTTTTTCATGTCTCTGTTAGCCATTTGTATGTCTTCTTTGGAGAAGTGTCTGTTCATGTCTTCTGCCCATTTTTTGATGTGATTATCTGTGTGTGTTGAGTTTGAGGAGTTCTTTATAGATCTTGGATATCAGCCCTTTGTCTGTAGTGTCATTTGCAAATATCTTCTCCCATTCTGTGGGTTGCCTCTTTGGTTTGTTGATTGTTTCCTTTGCTTTTGATCTTGATGAAATTCCAAAAGTTTATTTTCGCTTTGGTTTCCTTTGCCTTTGGAGACATATCTTGAAAGAAGTTGCTATGGCTGATGTTGAAGAGGTTACTGCCTATGCTCTCCTCTAGGATTTTTATAGATTCTTGCCTCACATCGAGGTCTTTTATCCGTTTCGAGTTTATCTTTGTGTATGGTGTAAGAGAATGGTTGAATTTCATTCTTCTATACATAGATGTCCAATTTTCCTGCACATTTATTGAAAAGACTGTCTTTTTTCCACTGTATTTTTCCTGCTTTGTTGAAGATTAGTTGACCATAGAGGTGAGGGTCCATATCTGGGCTCTCTACTCTGTTCCACTGGTCTATGTGTCTGTTTTTGTGCCAGTACCATGCTGTCTTAGTGATTACAGCTTTGTAGTAAAGCTTGAAATCGGGCAACGGGATATTTTATAATTTGTTTTTTGTAACAGCCTTATAAATATTTAAAGATGATTTTTTAAAAAAGTGAATGGGAGAAAACAGAGCAGTAAGAACACAGACAGAGAGATACAGAAAGAGGGAACAGGTTAACTAGCTCAGTTTAAGTTCATGCAATAGAAAGTTATGAAGTCAGGATTAAAATCCAGACCTGATGACCATAGCCTGCCTTCTTAGCAGTATGCCACATAGCATCCCTAGAATACCCAATTGTTTATGTTGAAGGTCAGAGTTTTGTAAACTGCTGAAGGTAGAGATTAGGTCAGAAAAACTTACTGTAAGAAATAAATCAACATTGTATATGTTACAACCTAATTATAAAATTGTTCCCAGTTGGCATTCCAATTCGCAGTTTACAATATGTACTACTAAAAGAAATGTTGAAAAGTAATTTGACTGTAAAGTGTACCTCCTATCTTTTATTTAACTTACTGGAATATAAGAATGCCTCTTTGTTTCCTTGGACTTAAGGATTAATTTTTTAGTCTCAGTATATTCTATTTACTATTTTTAAACTAAATTTATTGAAGTACATTTATAAATTTATATAGAATACAGTTTTTAGAATCTGTTAAATTTAAAAATGTACATTTCAAAATACAGTATTTCTTTAAGCAGTATTTCCCATGGAATTTATGGCAGAACTGAGCACATAGAAAATATTCAGTAAATTTTATTGATCAATTAAAAAATCAGTTTAATAAAATATCTTCCCTCAAGGATAACATGATTTCTAAAATGAAATAGTCTTAGTAAATATAAAAACATGGAAGAAAAAGATAGCTGATTACGAATGCAATTTCAGTTTTGTTAAATGTTCAGCCTTCATTTTTGAAAATTTTTTAGATTTTAAAGAAATTATTTTTTTTAAGATTTTATTTATTTAACAGAGAGAGAGAGAGAGAGAGGTCACAAGTAGGCAGAGAGGTAGGCAGAGAGAGAGAACAGAAAAGCAGGCTCCCTGCTGAGCAGAGAGCCCAATGTGGGGCTCGATCCCAGGACCCTGAGATCATAACCTGAGCCAAGGCAGAGGCTTAACCCACTGAGCCACCCAGGTGCCCCAAATCTGATGTTTTTATGAAATGAGAAAGCATTTGTTAATTGCTAGTAAATTAAGTTTGTTTGGCTGAAAAATCATACCCACAAATTGTTAATTAATAAAAGTCAACTAGAAGTGTCATAGGAACTGTATCTTTGTATTTGTCCTGGTCATTAATAATATCAACAGTTTGGATGAAAACCAGGGAAGTGAATCCTTATAGCACAATTGCAAAGAAGAAAAGATTCCAAATTCAATTTGTTTTGGGTTCTGTCTCTTAATTTTTTCCTGGGCATGTGAATTAACCACCTCCCAAGTTAATGAAACAATAAATTTATTTTGAGATGAAGTATTAATAATGGCTATACAAAAATATAACATTATATTCATTCATGTGGAGGTGAGTAGCAAAAGTTAATCCAAATTCAGTACAAGCCAACTATAGGATGTAAAACTTGATAATGCAACCTTAAATTGTGATCATACACTTGCTATATCTCTGGAGCTTAATTGTTACACTATTTATCACACTGATTAAAGTCATATATGATGCATGCATTCCATCTGAATCTCCACATTTTGTAAAGTATATCACCTAATTAGAATGCACTGTAAAATGGAATCAGGATGGTGATGGTTCTGGAAACTTTTCCATTCAAGGAGAAAAAATAGGAGTCAATAATGTTCGACCAGCAGAAGTGAGATGAAAAGAGAGAATGTGAAATAGATAAAAGGCTAAACTAGCTGTGTGTGTGTGTGTGTGTGTGTGTGTGTGGCCACAGATATCATAACTGGGACTAGTGAATTAAATTTATAGATGAATATATTTTCAAGATATAAGGGAAGACCTAACAATTAAAACTCTCTAGTTCTGGAACAGTTTGCTTTGTGAAGTAATAGACTCCTCCTTGGTGGAAGTGTTCAGAGGGTGACTGGTCACCTCTCAGGAATATAATGTGCAGAATTCTTAAGTAGATAGATAGAGGGAAATCTGAAGGTTCTTTAAAGCTCTTAGATTTTAATAAAGGACAGAGAGCTGAAGAAGAGGCTATCTCCTACTCTTCTTTGTAAAGAGTAAGAGATAAAGAGTAAGTTCTTTGTAAACTCAAACTTTGTAAACCTAATGTTCACTATGGAATGAGGAACACAATAGGGCTTCCATAAATGTCTGTTGAACCAAATTGATAAAAATGAAGAAGCTATATATATAGTAGTCAACACACACACAAGAAAGAAATGAATAGGAAATCAATGGAAATAGAAAATGGACCATTTTATCCAGTCAAATTTTTGTTCTGTATGATGAAAATTGGATGTAATTCTTAGACAGTATGATATTTACCAAGACGTTTGAAGAAATTCTCCTCTTCATCTCTTCCATTTTCCATTCCACTCCCTGGTCCACCTTCAGAAAGCTTCACTGCACTGGTAAATTTTACCTGAGGAACAAAGGGCAAATTTTTTTTTATACTAAACCTTGCTTTTGAAAAATAAGTTATTTAGAATATGAAGATGACTTTAGTTCTTCTGACTTCCGCATCTGGTTAGTCAGTCAGTATGGTTTATTCCTATGTACCAAAAAAAAAAAAAAAAAAAAAAAAAAAAAACAAGACTTATAACTAATTTGAAAGAGAGTCCAGTCATAGATTGAAAGTAAATAATCAGGCATCATGAAAATAATTCAGCAACTAAATGAGATGTTCTTAGAGTTTAATTTCAATAAAATCCAAACTCAAATTCAGGAACAGCAAGCCATATTCATCCTTTACAAACAGCACCACAGTTGAGAATGAGACCAAACTGAAAGACAGGCAAATAGAAAGTTTCAAATCTTTATGGAAAAAAAAAAAACCCAGTATAAATTAATTCATAAAGTACCCTATAATTAAAGGGAAATAACATGCTTTGGGTTTTTTCCTAAGAATTTAAATGTGCCCTTGATCTTGCCCTTAGGCCAAGAGTACTTAAAATTTTCAGCATGCAAGGAAGCTATGTGAGTAAGCCTCACATACTCTTAATATTTGGCCAATATTTTAGCAAAAGGATGTGAAGGAGGAATTGTATTTTCTAAATGTCTTATGAGGTTGATATATTCTTTATATAATTTCATAATATTACCATTAAAATAGATAGAGGAAAACTGGTTTTAGTGAGATTCAAAGCAGAAAGATTATAAACAAATGATTTAGATATAAAGAAATGTAACTCTTACCATATGCTGGAAATTATAGTGACCAGGACCTGGATCATGTACAGGGAATGCTCTTGTAGGAATTGGATTTCACTGAGAATCATTACCTTTTCCAAATAGTATGCTGTTACAATACTTAACAGTATTATGAAGAAGCACTTAATGGGAGAAATCCTTTATCCTTTTCAATAGGAAGAATTGTTCAAGAACTCACAAAAAGTAATAGAAAGAGGATGAAGTGCGTGTGTGTGTGTGTTTTAATACATAAAGAGAATCATTAGAAAATTCTGCATCCTGGGGCACCTGGGTGGCTCAGTGGGTTAAGCCTCTGCCTCCAGCTCTAGGTCATGATCTCAGGGTTCTGGGATCAAGCCCCGCATCGGGCTCTCTCCTCGGCAGGGAGCCTGCTTCCTCCTCTCTCTCTCTCTCTGCCTACCTCTCTGCCTACTGTGATCTCTATCTGTCAAATAAATAAAGTCTTTAAAAAAAAAAAAAGAAAATTCTGCATCCTTGGGTAGGAGCTTGAAATGTCAGGAATTTCACATGTATGTTAAAAGTTAAAAATAGTTGGAAAATACCAATTTGGATGCCTTTCATTTCTTTTTCTTGTCTGATTGCTGTGGCTAGGATTTCCAGTACCATGTTAAATAAAAGTGGTAAGAGTGGAAACCCATTTGTAACAACATGGATGGATCTAGAAGGTACAATGCTACATGAAATAAGAGTCAGAGAAAGACAAATATCAAATGATTTCACTCTTGTGGAATTTAAAAACAAAACAAAACAAATAATAAAAAAAGGAGACCAAATAATAGACTCTTAACTATAGATAACAAAATGGTGGTTACTAGAGGGACAATGGGAAGTGGGAAGGGTGAAACAGGTAATAGGGATTAAGAGTACACTTTTCATGATGAGCACTGGGTACTGTACCAAATTGTTGAATGACTATATTGTATACCTGATACCAATATAACACTGTACATTAATTATACTGAAATTAAAAATAATAATAAAAATAAAGCTAAAACATTAAAATAGCTGGGAATTAATACCTATGTACATATCTAGGTCTGCATTATAATTTTATGTAAATTTTTTGTTACTCTTTTCTTCCTTTCCATAATAGCTTACTACTTCGATATCTTAGTTTTCATTGTTCATTTAAGTTTCTAAACTTTGTTCAATTTGAAGACAGTTTCTTCAACTCTTTCTTATTTGGCCCTTCCATGTGTTCAACATTTCTTGGTCCTGACATTTTTCTATCAGCGAATCCAACATTATCTTATATAAGTGATGTCCTGTTTACCTTGGAACTTTGCCTGATGAAAGAGAGGCGGTCCACAGAGCTGATGTCCAGAAGGTCCTCCACACCATCTGCTAGGCCCGAGAGGGAGGACCGCTTCAGCCAGTTTCCTATTTAATAATTTTTGAAAATTTAGACCACTATAGCATTTTTCTCCCAAATGAATTAAACAGAAATGTCAGCATGTGCTCAAAAAGCAATGAAAATTACATGGCTTACTGCACACTGAAGTGAAAACAAATGGTTTTCAAAATGTATATGCTTTGAATATTGGATTATAAAATGACAAGACTGAGTAAGACTAGAACAAAATGAATTTGGGCCTCTTTGGTGAATAAAACCACAATCCATCCAGTTCTCCTTGACACTTTTCACATCTTCCAGTAAGTCCTGTTGATTTTACCTCCTAAGCATTTATCGAATCCGTCCACTTTGCTGTACATGGTCAATCACCCAGTCCAAGTTTCCATTACTTATGTTTGGACTACTAAACAGCTTTGTAACTGGTCTCCCTCAACCACTATGCTCCCTCCAGTGTGTTGCCCATGCAGCGATCTTTTAGAAAAAGCTAACCTGCTTGCATTATTCCCTTGCTCAATATCCCAGCTGGGCTATGTAGGGCTGTAAGACAAAAAGCCAACCTTACCTGCAAGGTCCACATGCTCTAGTCCCCTTGCTCTGTCATAATCCTGCAGACGCTCTTTTCCTTGTCTTGTTTCTATTTCCCTCCCTCCTAATACTTTTATAGATTTTATTGCTACCACTTAGTACACTTTCCTTCTTCATTCCCCTAAGTACCCTGAAGATCTTAGTATCACTTCCTCCAGGAAGCCTTCTCTGATCTCTGCCTCCTCCTCCCCGTTTAGGTCAGACCTTATTGCATACATTCACGGCACAACATATATTTCCTTCATAAAATTTACAGTTTTCAACCACACTTAGTTGTAGGATTATCTGTTTTACTGACCGTCACCCCCAATAGATTTTAAGTTCAGCAAAGTTGGGCACTGTGTAATTTTTCTTATCTTTTAATTCCTGATGCCTAACATCATAGTGTTTGGACACAATAAGTGCACATAGTAGGGGTTTGAGAAATACCTGCAGAAAAAAGATGAATGAATGAATGAGCCAGCTTAAGCCTTGTGACTTGAAGGCTTTCCTTTGCTCTACTCTACCATGCGTTGCTTTGATTATGAGTTGATTTGAGGACATGGCAGGGAATAAGGGAATCCATAAGTAAATACAGACATACTTTTACCTATGGGCAGTTTAAGTTTCTTCCGGAGGGAAATTCTGCGGGAGCGTGAGCGGGTGCGACGGTCAGAGGTGGTCCCTGAATGGGCAGTGGTGCATTCTGAAGTGTCCTGTTCAGACTGGCTGCTGGTGTCACTTGCTGCACTCTGGGATTTGAACATCTTGCGCCAGAAATCCTTCCGCCCTAGGTTGCCCCCTTGCATTTGTTCATCGCTGAAAGCAAGCAAAGGGTAGAGTTAAATGTCTGACAACGCATGTGAAATTCTCTTCAATTTCTTTCAACTTCCTGCCGGCGATATTTACGCAATTCATGCAGGATGATCTCTGATGGGCTGGGATTTAGGATGAGTCAGAGGGGGAGTGGAAGGAGTGAGACCAAGGTTGACTCTGAGGTCTTCCTGGAAACAGTCATGTCTCAGCTGTCAAATAGAGGTAATCATTTTTCCCCAGCTTTAATAAAAGGACCAAATATTATCACAGGTATTCATCTGTGGGTGTGAGTCATAATAGTAGAAGCACTTATGATGTCTAAATATTTCACTTTTTTTTTGTGAAGTTCCCAGAGGCTTGTGCAGTACTGTATATCACTTTCCAACCCCACCCCAGCATAGTATAATTCTCGGCACTAAATAAACTCACAAAAGATATTTGAATAAATGAATAAGTGAAATGTAACCACACTCAGGGGTTGCATCATTCTACAACTGTTTACTAAATTATTTTCATTGTGCCTAATTATTTAGCTTTCTCAGGGCAAAGACGCTTAAATAAGGTTTAAAAGTAAAAAAATTAATCCAACTCAATATGCCAAATGGGGACACATCCAAAGGGATTTTTGACCAAGACATTTCACAAGGGGGAAAAGACAAGCGGCCAATAATATGCTGAGGTAAATCTCACTAGGAACTGGAGGATGGGGAAGGTCAATTGAAATGGGATCCCGGGACGCCTGAGTGGCTCAGTTGGTTAAGCAGCTGCCTTCGGCTCAGGTCATGATCCCAGCGTCCTGGGATCGAGTCCCACATCGGGCTCCTTGTTCTGTGGGGAGCCTGCTTCTCCCTCTGCCTCTGCCTGCCACTCTGTCTGCCTGTGCTCGCTCTCTCTCTCTCTCTCTCTGACAAATAAATAAATAAAATCTTTAAAAAAAAAAAAAGAAATGGGATCCCTATTTTCACTCATTAAATTGGTAAAGATTAAGGTGGGGGAGAGAGAAAGCAATTGGTGACTGTCATCCTACTAGTGATGAGATAGATTCAACCTCTCTGGAGGGTAATTTAGTAATATGGTATCCAAAACCAATATCTACAGCTATGATAGAGAAATCGAATTCCTAGGAAGTCATGCCAAGAAAATGATAGAAAAATACACTAACATGTAGATAAATACAAGATGATCAAATGCTTGCTGAGGTATTATGGGTTAACACTGAAAACTGGAAGCAATCTAATTTTAAACTCCAGACAAACAGATAAATTATAGAACTTCTATCTGATGGCATATTCCATAGTCATTAAAATCCTATTTTAGAAGACAACTGATATGGAAAATGTCAAAGGTATATAGCAAAGTTAGAAAGCAGTTAATCAATGGGTGAAATAGGATAATTTCATGTTAAATAAACAAAGTACACACATAAGCATGTGTCTGTGAGTTTGCTTGTACACATACTCAAAATTGTACCCAGCACACCAGAAATTTATGGTGGTTATCTCCAATTGATAGTATTTCGACTTAAAAATGATTTTTCTGGGGCGCCTGGGTGGCTCAGTGGGTTAAGCCGCTGCCTTCGGCTCAGGTCATGATCTCAGGGTCCTGGGATTGAGCCCCGCATCGGGCTCTCTGCTCGGCAGGGAGCCTGCTTCCTCCTCTCTCTCTGCCTGCCTCTCTGCCTGTTTGTGATCTCTGTCTGTCAAATAAATAAATTAAAAAAAATTATAAAAAAATAAAAATGATTTTTCTTTGTTTTTCTGTTTTGGTACTTCAGCAACATATATTACTTTAGAAATTTGGGGAAAAAAAGGTCACAGAAGATACTTAGTAATATGTGATGAAATTTGTTCATGAAATTTTAGGTAATGATTTGTCTATAGGCTTTGGGATTGAATCCAGACTCTGCTCAAAATTCAACAATACTGTGTAAAGCAATCATTTTCTGGAGATATTTATATGGAGTTTCAAATTTTACCTCTCAGAATCTCATTAGAGTACTAAATACATTTTATTCTTATTTCAAACCAGAACATTCTGTTTATCATATATGGTATGAATTTGTGAGTTTAAATCAGTGTTTCAGGATTTGACTTCTCAGTTGTTTTATTTTTTTATCAAACGATCACAGTGTATGAAACATTTCTTGCCTTTGGGGAATGTGGGACAAATGATGAGCATATGACCACATGATCTATGTGGTACAACATTTCAATAAGATGTTACATTAACTTTGTCCAGAGGGCGTGTATCGATAATGAGTTTTAGAGAATGAACATATAAAACTGATTTTAAATTTAGTTAGTGTGACTTTTATTTAAGGAGGAAGAAGGAGAAGAGAAGGGTCTGAAAGGGAGGGAAGGGCAGGAGGCAGAGAGGATAAAGGAGGAACCAGGATCATCCACCTACCTTTCTTCAGTCCTAAACAGGGTACTGGCATGCTCATCTCCTAGGCCCACTCCAGTCAGGGAAAAGCTCTATATTTAACATTCCATGACATCCCTCCAAACGGAAATTTTTATGTAGAAGTATATTAAAACATGTATCTTCATTCAAGGGTAAAGAACAGACCCACGCTAAGGACCCATGCTAAGTGCTGCGATATCAGGCAGTGTTCACAGAACACTGAAGAAAGAGAATATTTTACAGTCTGGAAAATGAGATCACCTATGTAGAGGGTTTTATTTTTAAAATCCAGTTTACTTATTAGATCATTCTCATTGGACATATTAGCTTGATTGTTGCTAGTGCTATTTTGGGGTGGAGGAAGCCCTCTCTCCTTTTTCTGCTCATACTCCATATGTAAAGATTTTTAATTAGTCTTGTGGCTATTCAGCTATAGAACTTTGCCTTTTACAATAAGTCTTTTCATTTAGAGCTTATGTTTGACTTTTTACTATGTCCTTAAAGACTTCTTGGAACATCACATTTAAGAAAGGAAGTTAAAGGAAACAAAAAAAACCTTAATGGTAATTTCACAATTCTATCCTTTCATTGATTGTCTGCCATTAATTCATTCATTCATTTATGAAATAGACATTAAGTGTTTACAGTGGGGGCCAAGTCATAAGCATTGGGGTTATAATGGTAAGCAAAAACTCACATGGTCCTAGACTCATAGAGTTGATTTATCTTCTCTTTACTTTTTTCCAGGCACTTAGAGACATTCTCTAAGATTTTGAAGGGCTACAAGATCTATGCAGGCTTTTGTTCTTTCAAGGTTTTCCTTACTTGATGTGAATACCAAGTTTCTATTTGATGATGGTGATTTCCTTAACTATAGAGAGGGTATACCTTAAACATAGAATACCCTGCAGAATATTTCTGATAATCATTGTGTAATCATTTCATAGTAACCAAGGTTTAGGGAAGTAAAACTGTGTATCTTAAATGATGTTCATATTTTATATATTGATCACACCATTTGTGAGTAAATAGTTCTCAAAAAGAAGAATGAAGACAAATGAGCCTTGCATAGAACTAGGCTATATGTTTAGTGTCTACGGTAATTCTCTCATTTTCTGGAGGCACTAATTTTAAGATGCTTTTGACTTTGGCATTATAAAAAGTGGAGATAAACACTTTTTGGAACACTGGAATGGATCTCAGGAGAAGACCAAGGTGAAATGGAATAGAGTTTACGTTTTAGCTAAATCTGAGCACAAGAGTTTATCTTACTTTTTTTGGAAAACCTTCATCAAGCACATTGACAGCCATTAATAGATTTAAATAACAAAAGTTATAAGTGATTTTAAGCAAGAAAGTAGATGACACCTCCTCCCCACCTGGTACACATGCTATTTTTCATGATTTACCTGCAGGGGTATGCACGAGAAGCAGAAGTGGGGTAAAGACTGGAAATGGGAAATGCTGTTAAGGAAGCTTCCCATAAGCCTGAGGTTGGTTATTTATGATTTGGGTCTGTAGAGTTTAGTGGCTTTGGGAATGAAAAGTAAAGGGCAGAAGCAAGGCAAAGTTCAAAGAAAATGACAAGCAAACAAACAGCAGTTGGGAAAACTGAATTTCTTACAGTGAGAAGTGCTCAGCCCACAGCATTGGAGAGAAAATCAGTGCTACTTACTGCTCTGGAGTCTGTGAGGGGCGACCAGACATGAAGCTACGACACTCCTCAGGTGCAGAGGACCCCTGGCCTTTATCCACAATGCTTCCCGCCTCTGACCTATGCAAATGGTGCAGTTCACCAATCAAACAGAGCAGGACACCACTCCTCAATACTTTATATACTTCATAAAGCAAAACACTCCATTATCGACAACATATATTGCTTGCAAACCCTATGTCATCATGAGTCTATACCATATGAAATTTATATCCTACCATTTGATTCACGATCTAGCTGCTTTATTGTCTAAGAATACCACCATCAATGCAGAGTCATTAACTACAAGCAGAATTTTAAATTTAGGAGTTTCTTTTAATCTCAGTAAGTGGCATGTTTTATGGAATGGGCATACCATAAATTTATATTTACTAGAATGAAAAACAACAGGGCACTGCTCAGCAATTTGTATTTTCCATGTTTAAAATATTACTGAACAACAGGATATGGTATCAATAATTGCTTTTCCTCTCTGGACAAAAATGTAAATTATCTATGGAGAAGACTAACACACAGATAACATATCACCATATTGTTGAGATCTATGAAGTAAAGGTCAAGTGTATGCAAGCCTGAGATCAACTGAGCTCTGATTTATAGAGAGGCAGGATATGTTTGATAGTAAACACATCCTTTTTCTAAGCTGCAGCTGTGCTGTCACCAGTGATACTATTTATACAAGATAGTTCCACCAGCCCTGCACTAGAGTCACACACCATCCTGGGAGCCACATGGACAGTCCAACCAATTACATTCTACGGACATAAGGCCAACACGAAGATTTATAGCTTAAGTTTCTAACCTTTTACTGCCTGCAGTCTTAGATTCTGATTCATTCTCCTCCATCTTTTTCCCTGGTGCCAACTTCTCAGCACTGTCAAGCAAAGCACTGAGGGCCACTCTTCTGAAGACATTTCCATGAGCCTCTTTGATAAACTGGACCAGTTGACGAATGTCACAATACAGCCCCTGTTTGGATGCAAGAAGGAAAGTACGGGGAAAGTTGTGTGATTAAACAGTTTTCGTAGGAAGAGAGGGAGAAAGTAATTCCCTAGGCTTAGATCAGCATTCAAATCATAAAAGGAAGACATTTTACTACAGTGAAACAGATGGTACCCAGTCTCTCTCCATTGTTCCTATGGCAACATTACCAAGAACCTTGCCTGTCATCTTTAGTATGAAAAAGGATGGTTACCATGTTCCATATTCAGAAAGTTGGCTGTATCATTAGAAAGACATCAATTTACACTTTAAACCACTGGATTCCCAAGCTTTAATTTTCTCTATTATGACTTCTGAAGAGATGCCTGCAAAAAAAAGGCAATCAGAAGTTTGTTTAGACTAGAGATTTCAGTCCCTCTTTAGCTTCTCCAAATTTTCTGTATCACTGTTATAAAATATGCTAAGTCCTCTAGACACTTCTAACAGAGCCTGATTATTCAAGGATAGTGTATTTTGCTGGACATATTTAACAAATGTGTATGTCGAAGCCCATTTGAACATGAACTTGACTATGAAGTAAAGATGATGCAGGGCTATTAAAAGCAATATATTGATGAATCCACAGTTAAAAATATGTATAGGATCTTTTTTTCTTGAGATATTAACCTTTTCACTCAGCATTTCCTCCTCTCTCTTCAAGAAGGTGGTTACTGCATTCTTTGCCTTGGGAAAGGTTCATGGTAAAGCAAGACACAGAAGCCTAAGAAACACTTACCTTGATAGCTTTGGTTTTCAAAACCTAAGACCACTGGAACAATCATGCTAATGAGCCTTAAAAAATCAGAAGGAACAGTAACTGAGGAAAACATGGAAAGAGAGTTTTTTCGGTCCTCTGGGCAGAAAGATCTTGTGCTATCATTGTATTCTTTGATAGCTTCCCCGTAGAAGGGACAAGACACCAAAAAACAAGGGTTCCAAATTCACCAGAGTGCCCAACCCTAAGCACCCAGCAGAGAGCAGTATGTGAAATAATAGGTATGGACTGATGGTTGAGATCCATGGAGTTCTCGGGTCCTAGGTCCTACCAAAGACTTGGGATCCTTGCACCACTCTGACATAAAGAAACACCAAAATGTTGGGATTCAACTTTCAGCCATTCTGGTGGAATGGGAGTTCCAAGTCAAAACCAAGATGATTTAAAGAAAATTAAGAAATACAATTATTTCTTCTATACATGATTTTGCAGACTAAAATGTATAAAAAGTGCTCACGTGTATTATAATAAGCTTTTCAAAGTACTTCTTGCCATGAAAAATGAACTGCATGGATGGTGTCCACGTTTTTCTCAGACTCTAAGAACTTCGCCAAGGGGGCTTTGACAGCTAGCAAAATTCAATTCCCTTTGGTGTAGGGTTTAAGTTTATCTCAAGTTATGTGAATAGTCTCAATGGCTAAAAAGCTTAAAATAATTCCCTGATTTAGGTAGATTAGCAGATAGTGTCAATATGGATAAATGTGCTGATTTCTACGTAAAATGTCCCAACACGTAACAATTGGTAAGATAGTGAAATATAAGTCCTTTACTCCCCAGAGAGAACTGAATTCATCTATTTGTGTGGATTCATTAGCCTTTCTCAGGTCTACTTTTTGTATCCCAAACCATAATGTCCTTGACAGCAGCTAAGCAGCTATAGCCCCGTTCTTCTCTCACACTTCTTGTGGCTTTCGTGGTTTAATTAACGCAGTCATTTATGAGGGAGTAACTAAAAAATTGCAATGTTCTATAAAAGAAAACAAAACTAATTTCAGCAGCATATTCCCATTAATTTTTTAAAGGATAGTTTCAAAAATGGTTGGTTTAATATTCTTTAATATTTCATGAGTTAATAGGCTGTGTTGAGCACCACTTTCTCTTCAAGAACTTGAAGTACCTTTCAACTATCTGAGCAACCGCCATGGAACTTATGAAGTGGAAGAGGAAGATATGTCAATTTTCAAGTAATTTAATGAGTAACAAGGAGAAATGTGTTACTGAGGCTCTACCATGAGTTACCGGTCACTTTGGGAAAACAGAGATTTTAACTTTAAGGTGCAGACTTTTCGACTTCAATTTGTCTTTCTCAGGGCCACGACTGAGAATTTCTTAGAGTGGAGACCAAGAACTCCTGTGGGAAGAAGAGGTGAACTTCTCACCAGATTTTCAGGGCTGTGCAATTCATGCGTGGTTGAAGCGCAGCGTGTGATAAGGGACTTAAACATGGCGCTGACGATGATGCCTTCCACGTTTTGAGCTGTGGATTTGTTGTCCACCGTGGTGAAGTTATTTCCAAACCCAGCCTTGTCTGGAATGCAAAGGCACCAATTCAAGGCTATGTTTCCATTAAGCTACACAGGTTAAAGAAGTAATGAAGTACATAGCACCCAGGAACTAGTGAAGGGCTACATGAAATACAGAAATAAAAGATTAAAGATACCCCTAGGTTTAATCATCTTTATGCAGACTTGGAGATAAACAACTCATAGTCTCCCTCAGAGTCTTTACTAGGATATAGTCCATCATGTTGTGGAATGTTTCTATTGATAATCTAAGCAAAGTTATTAATCCTTCATTGGAGAGAGAATTTATCTGATTCAGCCTTTCTGGGGGTGAGGAATGCTGGCTTCTCAGTGGAAATCCTTCAGTCATTCAGAAGTAGGGGTGGGGTCAACCAGGTGAACAGGGCAGGAGGAGGCAGAGGCAGTGAGGGGACCTTGGTGTGTGTGGGGGGGATTCACATGGGCACTGGCAATAAAAAGGAGACTAAGTCCTGCCAAGAGCTGCATAGAACTTCCATCAGCTTCTCGCTCCCAGACTCTTTAGGTATATGGAGAATGAAAACCTACCACCTTTCTTAGAGCCACTTCCTTATGACTCATTGAAATGTAAAATGCCAATGAACTGAGGCCATCATTCTCTGGTAGCATTTTTTGCCAGTTTTTCACATATCCACAGACATTTGTAGGGGACACATGAGATATTCTGGAGCCTTGCCAGAAGATTTCTAAGGACTGTGAGCCACCAATGGACTGTAGGGTCAGGGTGTATACATCTCCAAAATGAATCAGATAAGGACCTGTGTGTTTGGTTGGCTGATTCACCGTGAGCCACTTCTCAAGAGTCCCAGGGTGGATTTGTCACCTTGAAGTAATACACTTTATCACCAACCTTTCACTGTCTGTGTCAGCTAGCAGGGGATTATCCCTAGATTTTACATCGTAGAAAGAAATCTTTTGGTCTATGCTTGCAGTTTCTATCTCAGCTAGCTTAAAAAAAGAGAAAATAGGAATTTCTCTTACAGTATCTGAACTATAATTCCCACTTTATTATTTTTTAAAATTTGTAATGTGCTCAGCTTAAAACTTCTTTGAGGATATACATTATTTTAGGGGCTCTATAAAGGGACAATATTTTTTTAATGAGGTCACCAAACAATAAAGCCTGGGATACAATTAGGGAAATTGGTTCCAAATTCATCAAATAGATCTTCATTATAAATTAATCAACTCTCATACATGTATTATATAAACCACAAAAGGCTATACTAAGACATTATTTCTTCTCAAGCTCTAATTAAAATGTATATGTTACTCAACTCAGGCTTCATACAGCATTTCATTTCATTACTCTATTTGCATTTGAGTGGTATTGAAGGTGTTTGGATTATTATGAATGCAATTGGTGTTCACTGGCTCCTACACCACAGGTCTCTTTGATGGGGTTTTCTTAAAGCCATGAAGTATAAAATGGTGTGTGGGGCTATCTATATATCCATTTGCCTGTTTTTTAAAAAATTCAGTATATATGTAGGTATAGATGAGTATATCAAAATTACACTACTATTACATTTATAGATATCTTTTCTTTCCTATTTTATTTTGTGAAAAAAATCTCCAAGTACTGTGTGGGGCATACAGTAAGTACTCATATTTGTTGAACTAATGAATATACTCCCTTGTTCCTTGATTTCTGCCTCAATTGTCATATAACAGAAAGTCGTGTGAAAGAGAGAGGAGTGCCATGAGTGATGGCTTGAAGGGCTAGCCGTGAGGATGCCACAACTTTACCAAATCCCATTTGCCGAGGAAAGTTGTCATCACAAAGCTTCCAAAAATGTGTCATCAAAGACGATGTGCAAGCTTCTCTTATTGATACTTTATTATACACACACACACACACACACACACACACACAATCTTTCCCTCTAAATTCTATCCCCACATATTCAGGGTACTTCTGAAACTCTACGTGCGTCCCCTCACAGCGATCTCTCCTGGAACATAGCACAGCTTTACTTACTGTCAGTGACTGGTTCCATACAAAATCCTAGCAAAGCATGCAAGAAGTCCACTACATTATTGAGAGAGTCCTTGTTCACATAGTCCCTCATGGTTTGTCGGAATTGCATCTTATCTAGCTTGTATAGCTTAGTGAGGCAGTTCTGGGCCTGCAATGAAGGAAGAAAAGTGGAAAAAGTCACAGGTACCAGCTTAAGCTAGGGATACCATTAGTCTGAGACAGAAGCCTGCAGAAGGCAAAGGCTTCCATCCATCCCTGCTGGCTGGTGCAGGCCAACCCTGCTAGTCCCTCTTGTCTGAGCAAGAGAGGGGCAGAGATAAGCTGAGCAGTATGAAGGACTTTACTTTGAGAAGGGCTGCTCCAAGTAAAACCCAAGGCTAATGTCCAATGCTGGTGCCAAAAAAAAAAAAAAAAAAAAACAAAAAAAACAAAACAAAACAAAACAAACAAAACAAAAAACCAAACCAAACCAAAACAAAACAAAAAAACCCTCAGTCTTTTCACCAAGATCAAGATTTTAAGATCTCAATGAAGAAAAGCTCAGTGTCAAAAATGAGGCAGGTTACAGAATTGGTCAGCCAGGTTTGAAAAACCTCAAAGGCTTTGTATAATGGGAACAACTGTGCCACCCCTATGTTCAGCTGCTTTGAACTTAAGTAGATTTAACTGAGGGGGCAGTGAGAGGGATGTAGGAACTGGGTACCCAGTGTCCTCTTATCTGGCTAGGAGGGGAAGATCCTTGAAGCAGGGAGGAGGCATAAAACACAGGCAGGTCTAGTTTGTTTATTTATGTGTCTGTATTTGAATGTGAGAGTTTGATATTTAAATAGAAATTAGCCTTATAGATGTGAAAACCAAGCAACCATTGGCTAGACCCTAATACTCACAATTATATGGCATATGATCCAGCAAATAATTCTGCCATCTGGCAAAGGGAAAGGGAATAATTCCACAACAATCCCATAATAATCAGAACAAATGAAGGCACGTCATTGGCTGCAGAAGGCCACGGATGGAATATGCGGATACTATCTGGTGTCAGTCAAAGCCTCCCAGCCTTCTCCTACTATGAAGAGAAAAACCATGTGTGTACAGTGCTTTGCTGTTAAGTATATAACATTTGACTTTCACACCTCGTGATCTGATGAGCATCCAATACTATAGTTGAGGAAGCTGGGGCTCACAGAAGTCAAGGATTTTGTCCAAGTTGACACAGTTCACAGCAGAGTCAAAATTAGGAGTCAGAGTCTTGCCCTTTACTAAGGTTATTTCTCTTATGATACAGTAGTCCTATGAAGAGTCCAGATAATGATTGGGGCAAACATTATTTAGGTACCACCCACTTTCCAAAAGAACTTATGATGATGGATGAATGAATAGAGATTAGTTGCTCTCTTGAAGAAACATTCTGTGTAAGAGATATAAGGAAGTCCATGACAAAGGAATGAAATGGGGAAGTAACAGAAGACTCTAGGTTGAAGGAACAGGCTAAGGAAAGGGAGGTGGTTGGGTGAGGACCACCTTAACCGAGGATGGAAAACTTCGGACAACCAGGCACAATCTCGAAAGTCAGGTTGGAGAAAGCAATCCCTAAGAATTCAAACGTACAAGGTAGGCCCTTAATGGTTTCCCAGAAGAAAAATTAAGTTATATCATTACTTTAACAAATCAAGGCCCAAAGAAAGATTCTAGAAAAATCTGAAAAGAAATAGAAAGATTTTTAAAGGCCAAAACTTGAAATTAGCAATAAATTTCTTGGTATGACCTTGCTGTAATCCCTCCATCTGCATCCCAAAGTCGGGTGAATTGATAATTGTTTTCATTCTCCCTTTACTAGGTCTTAGAATAATGAGAAAATAAGTGTTTTTATTCCGGAGAGGTTATTGGTTGCTAGATCTTAGTCAAGCTCCTTTTTTCTCTTACAAAATAAATGTTGCTTGCTATAAAATTATGTTTTCAAAGCATTTACTTAAAATATTTCCTGCATGAAGTAGTATTTAATTATTATCCCATAAAGAATTTGCAAAGATCTTCATTGTTACACTTACGAAACAATTTAAACTTCTGAGTTGTAAAGTCTTGAAGCACAAATTATGTGATCTTCTCTACAAAATATACCAAAGGCAGCATAGTTTCAAATCCATTCGTTAGAGGCTATTAGAATGTCTGAGTGAGTTCCATGGGAAGTTTAAGCAAGAATCAAATCAGACTATCAAACCTTAAGCATTTTGATTCTCAATGAATATTCTAAACTTCTCCAAGAGATATAAAGCTGTCAGAGTGAATTTCCTTTCAATAGTTTGGGACTACCTGCAAATGATTAAGCGAAAAAAACACATGCCGGAATTATTAAGCATTTTGATGTATATCATTAAAGTAATCTTCTATTTCTTCCTTTCTTCCTTCCTCCCTCCCTCCCTCCATGTTTTTTCTTTCTTTCTTTCTTCCTTAAAGAAATATAGAGGCCCTGATCTGGTAGAAGAAACACTCCTAACATCTTAAAAGTTAAGTAACTTCTGAAAATGCAATGTTTTAGAAATTTGTAAAGAACCTGCTTCTTGAAACAAACTTTTCCAGGGATAATGTCTCAAGTTTGTATCTCTTGGACAATGTGTTTGCTGAGCAAGGAGATGCAAATATAGTCCCTATAATGAATATTAAGCTGGGCTACAAGAGAATGGAAGAGTTGCCCTCTAAGTCGAAAACTGAGAAGGCAGGTAAAAAACTGTCTGGACAGCCTGATGGGAAATGTTCAGTAGTCTCATGAGGAAAGCATAGTGGACTACTAAGCAGCAAGTAATCTCTCAAGTGGCTTCTGATCACCTGTCCTATTTTCTCCAAGTCTAGAAAGACAGGTTCTGGTGTCAGAGCCAGTTTATACCTCCAAGCAAAGCATGGCACTTATTATATTTAATGTGCCATTTCATGGAATTGGTCTTCTGTATGAGGAGTGATAATAACCATGAAGGCATTCATTCATACTGTGATAGAATTAAAAATCAAACAATAAAAATCACATACAGATGCTCAAAGATGGGGCTGATTTCAGCTTTCTATTGCCTTATTATTATTATTATTTTGATTTTTACATTTTGAGCCTCAAAATCTAGATCTTGGTCAAAGTTGTCATGGTTCAGAATTTAGAAGTTAATTACTGTGACTATAACCCCCCATATATAAACAATCAATGAATATAATACAACATAAAGCATATAAAAGACAGAGACAAGAATGGATAGATGGATAGATGATGGGTAGATGACAGAGTAAGAAAGAAATCCAGCATGCTAGTACTGTGTGAACATTTCATGACAAAAACTAATACCAAGAAAAAATAGGTTGGCATTAGATGTTGACATGATCCTAAAACTCTGCCGTCATATGCCAAAGGGTTTCCTGGACTCAAATTTGCATAAAACCCTTATTTTCAGGAGGATATTTTCTTACAATTTCAACTCAAATGTATGTATGAGGCAACTGTCCCAGCTTGGGCTTGCTATGTAGGTGGGTTATTGCTCAAGAGTGAAGGGAAAAGTAGCAATCAGCTGAGGCAAGTGAAAATGAGCAGGAGTAAGATCATATTCCGTGACAGAATTATGCTTTGCAAGCCCAAGCGCAGAGTTTCAAGTTTCACACAGTTCAAAGGGACATGATCTCAAATACGAAGGAGTCAAGGTTCATTCTCAAACAAAGCAGCCAGAACATGACGGGCTACTTTTATAGTCCTGTTTTGTCCCAATAAGGGCCATTTTCCATACCTATGAAAGAATAACAAACTGAGTCCTAAACTTTGACCCCATTCTTTAACATAAAATATGTTTCTATTGTACCCAGGCAAATGATCAAAAAGTCATTTGTCACAGCCCCTCAGAGGCTCCTTAAATACATTAATCTTTGCCAATGTCTTGCAAACTTTAATTCACACATTCCAATTATACACCCTTTCACCAACTGGGAGTTGGCCTGCTCTAGGCAGAAGGCAGAAGTGTTTTCCCAATTAAGCTTTCCTAGGCCTGGGTTTTTGAGGTCTTGAGATACGTTGTGGGAATCTTCCCACTCTGAATCATCATTAATCATGCCTACGAAATGCAATATTTTTCAGGGAACACTGACCCTCATTGTCAAAGGACTCATTTTTAAATTGGAGGCAGGGAAGGAGAGGAAATGGAATCTACTGTAATTCTCTTACATTCTCTCGGAATACCTGGTGTCTCAGACGATCTCCAGAGAGCCCTCGATGTCCTTCTCCACAACCATAGGCACATCCCAAAGACTTCACTATTTTAATGAGCATGGTCAGAGCAAGCCTATGGTTGCTTACAGGTGTACTTTCATCCTAGAAAAGTCACAAAGCCCTTTTGGTACTGCCATTCCATTTTGTGATTAAACCGAGTTTTATGTTTTATGGTGAGCATGTACAACTTGAAAAACAGAATTGTCAAGGGCTCAACAAACAAGTTAACCTTTCTAAAATCCAGATTGCCTTTTAAAAGAAAGAAAAATGTGCATTTTGATCATCCTCTAGTGCTAAAGGATATAAATGTAGGCCTCTTGATTAGAAAACATGCTTACTGTATCCTTTGCAGACTATTAGAACCACCTAGAGAGACAATGGGGACTATCAGTGATGAAGGCAAATAGATTTTCCCGGAAGCTACCCTCATCATCAGGTTTCTGATAGTACCGCCAGGCAATGATTATTGCTAAATTTCTGGAACTGATAAAAGTCTGGAACTTTGAAATCACATGGCAACTTCTGACATTTTTAAGGGACTTTCTAATTTTATATTTTCACTGTATTGTAATACTCACGCACCAGCAAAGTGAGAATATAAAGAAATTTGTCAACATTCAGCTTGTTTCTTCCTTTGCAGGTAAATATGAAGCTTTCCTGAGATGAATAATCAGAATGATTATCATCCTCTCTTTTGCCCCATTTAATCCTTGCTGTTAGTGAAGGACACAGCTTCCAGAAAAAATGAACTTCTGTGAATTATCTCCAAAGAGGCAGAAGGATCCTAATAATTTCCCTTTCTATATCGGTTTACTGTGCAGAACAAAGGAAATAATGGATAAGCATTGTTCTGTAAATGGTGAAGTGGTCTTCCATTGTCATGTGGAACAGGTGGCTAAGCAAATGATATCACACACTGAAAGTACTCCAGTGTGGGTAGGGAGTGAAAGAGATGGTGTTACCAAGACGTCATCCATGATACAGAAAGGTAGACTCCCCTCCCCTAAAAAGTTACGCCATTGGTCCTCCTTTTCTAATCTACAGCCTCATGTAGTGGATGCAGTGCTGAGATGCCCCCTGCAAAACTGAGCATTCTCTAAGCCTGGAAGTGTTGCTGGCTGACAGCTCTCTACTGAGATCCTAACTGGCCATTGCTCTTAGCTAAAGGAAAGTTGCTTCACCTAAGGTTAATGCTCTTCCTGGTAGCACTCTGCTTCCAATGGCTGGTCAAAGGCATAATGCAGGTTTAGGGGTATAAATGTGGGCTCCTTTTCTCCACCTGGAGATTACTTTTGAGGAGTCATCCTTGCTTTAGAGCTCTCCGTGTGATGAGCTGAAGTTTGTTACAACTACATTGTAGTTCAACTTCTCTCTCTACCTCATCCTGCTTCTTTTACAACCTCACAGTTGTTGATCCTGAGAGGCCGCCTCAGGAAACTTCATGCACACACATCTCCACATCTCAGTCCATTTCCTGGGCACTCTGTATATCAGACTGTTGCAAATGGAAGACTCAGAAATTATCAATAGAAACTTACTAACTTATTTACTATATATACAGCAATTCAGAAATGTTTGGATTCACATCTTAGCTCCATAACCTTGGGCCAGCCACTTAACCACTGTGTGCCCTACAAAATGGGAATCATGATAATATATACATATTTTATATTTATTTTATATGTATTTATATGTATTATATACATAATTATATATATACATAATTATATATTATACATATATGTATATATATAAATTTCTAGGTGTGGGACACTGCTCTCTTTTGAGACTACTTTGTGCAAATTAGAAAAGGCATTCCTGTGGGTAGATGAGTTAGAAAAAGATGAGCCCTTTTAGTAGATGCATCTCTTGGTTGAACAGCTCAGTGACCAGAGTATAGGCTGGATCTCAGTCCTTCTTGACTCAGCCTTAGCCACGAGCCCTTGTGTGGTGTACCGACTGTACAGCTAAAGGCAGTAAGTAGTGCCTCAGTAAAGTTCACCCTGGGTAGGGCCTGATTTGGAAGATAGGTTTACACCCATTTTTAGATTACTGTATGTTCCTTTAAAAAAAAAAATCCCTAGCTCCAAAAGCTCTTAGTAAATATCTATTCAGGTTTGGCTTTCTTTACACCTTCAGATGTCCTTAGGATTTAGGTTCCTCTTACAGGAGACATTCAGAAAAATGTACCAAGCTACAGACAGAAATCAGGACAGATATTAAATAACATTTCAAGCTCTCAGTATTAGTTAGTGACATATATAGAAATAGAATTAGATCTTCCTTTCTGAATTAATAAATTCCCCATGCTTCTGGTATTACTACACTGTAAAATTAGATAAACTCTCAGATTCTACAGAAAATACAGAGATTTAGGGCAGAAGAGACCTGTGTGAATTAGAAATACATGTACTTAACCTACGGTTAGGTTTTATTTTATAAATTATTTGTTTTACAAAGAGTACTTTTTTCCAGAACTAACTATGAAACATTGATTACTTGGTGGTTGTTTTGAAGACTACATATCTGACTTCAAAAAATTCCATCTAACCAAGAGTGATAACTTCTGTTCAAATACTGTTTACATTATCAAGTATCTAGGATACTAACTGGATTTTAAATTGGCAAGAGACTTGCAAGTCTACAAAAAGAAATCATATGCAGATACCAATTGGGTAAAATTTTAGAACTAAAAGTAAAAATATAATACTAATAATGACCTCAGAAATTCTTAAGATACATAACAAAGCCCTCTTTAATTTAGTTGAACTATCTAAGCTTTAATAATAAAAACCTATCAAAATTCCATAACTCTTATTTTTTTCTATTTTTCCTTGAATATTATATTGGATAAAATACCATCTATTATCTCTTTGAGTAGCCAGCTTATATTGAAAGATAAAACATGGACATTTAGTAAGAGTGAGATCTGAGGATTTTTGGATTATCTTCAGCAATGTATGAAGAGGTAAGAAGTTGGCAACCTTAAGCACTGGAAGATACTGTCAGAATTGGAAAATACACTCGGGATGCTTGGGTAGCTCAGTCAATTAAGAGTCTTCATTTGGCTCAGATCATGATCCCAGAGTCCTGGGATCAAGTCCCCATCAGGCTCCGGCTTGACATTCAAGCAGTGTAAGAGCTAATTTCCTGGTCATGTTATTTCTTTAGGGTAGTATCTCAGTTATACTATATGGCCATCACTCACAGTCTGTCACGAATACCATTTCTCAAGATTTTCAGGGTCTGACCAGTGAAGAGCCTGCTTCTCCCTTTGCCCACTGCTCCCCCTGCTTGTGCTCTCTCTCTGACAAATAAATAAATAAAATCTTAAAAAAAAGAATTGGAAAATACACATTTATGATTAAGTCAGAGGAAGAAAATCCTAAAGAAAGGGTTCAGGAACCCAAGAATATTGGGAAAGAATATTTGGATGAGAGACCTAAAATATTAGGAAGATAGTAGAAAATGAGATGAAGAAACACAGATGATCGATGCACATTAAAAATGGATCAAGTAGGATTAGAAAAAGATAGAGAAGAAATTATAAGAGGAAGGAGCACCACAACACTTATTCAGATGGACAATTCACAGTTTAGATAATTATGTAGATGGTAGAACTCTGCACACGTCATCTTACACCTGTAAACACTTGACCTGATATGTACATCCTGACATCAGATATTCAAATCTTCTGTTGATTTCAATTTGTTAACAGTATTTTCCAACAAAAACCCTGAACTGAAATCAGTGTAAGTTATGTGAATTCAAACTATGGTAACTCTTTTTTCTTTCTTTCTCTCTCTCTCTCTTTTTTTTTTTAAAGTAGGCTCCATGCCCACCATGGCACTGAGGAGCCCAATGTGGGGCTTGAAATCACAACGCTGAGATCAAGACCTGATGAAATCAAGAATAGGACACTCAGCTGACTGAGCCCCCTGAGAGCCCCAAGCTATGGTATTTATTTAGAACCCAAAGTAAAGGAAAAAACTAATTTTTGGCATTAAGTGCAGAGATCATAAATGAGGTATTGCCAAGGCAAAGGGAATTAAATTCAGGAATTATCAATAATAAGAAAGCTAAAAACATAAGTTGTGAAACACTGAGACATGAGAGCACCAAGACTAGTCTTTGAAAGCTACCAATTAGCTGAACAAAATTCTTCACTTTCTTCAACAGTGATCGAAATTGGCTGCCCAAAAAATGTGTTCCTTAGATCAAGAGAAAAAAAATCATCTTGAAGAAAAATTATACAGCTTGTTATGGACTGAATATATTTTTCCCAAATTCACATGTTGAAGCATTAACCTTCAATGTGATGGTGTTTGAAGATGTGGCTTTTGGGAGGTAATTAGGATTAGATGATTTCATGAGAGTGGGGCTCTAGTTTGATGAGATCAGTATCCTTATAAGAATGGACACCAGAGGACTCTCTCTCTCTCCTTCTCTCTCTCTCTCTCTCTGTGTGTACAGAAAAAAAGAGGCCATGTGAGTATACAGCAAGATGGCAGCCACCTATAACCCAAGAGAAGAAGCTTCAGAAGCCTCGCTGGCACCTTCATCTTGATCTTCCCAGCCTCCAGAAACGTGAGAAGATAATTTATGTTGTTTAATTCACCCAATCTATGGTATTTTGTTATGGCATTCTGAGAAGAAAAGAGTCCTTGATTTGGTCAGACCCTGAAAAACTTGAGAAAGAGGCTATTCTTGACAGACTGTGAGTGATGGTCATATAGTATAACTGAGATACTACCCTAAAGGAATAACATGACCAGGAAATTAGCTCTAACACTGCTTGAATGTCAATGGTTTTTGAATTGAGAATACCATTTCATCTAACCATTTCTACTAATGCCTGGTGAGAACCCACTGAAGAGATTTCTAGGCTCACGACTTTCTTTAGGGACTAGTTGTAATCAAATTCTTGGCAAGCAAGCACTGGAAAGAAATTAGGGGCAACATTTCATGAGAACACAGAAGGTGGTTCACTCATACCTTCTCTTGGTTCTTATCATTCTTCTCATAAGGTCCACCTCCGCCGCCTCCTCCTCCTCCTCCTCCATCACCTCCTCCACTGCCTCCATCTCCACCTCCTTCTTCTCCTCCACCATCTCCAGCTCCACTAACTGAAGGGCCCCCGAATCCACAGGGTGAACTTCCAGATACACCTTTGAACTGGAAGGTTCCCTCACTGGCTCTTTTTTCTGTAGTTTCATGTTCCTTGTTTTCACTCTTTTTTCTGTTCTTTTCTACACAAGGCACCACACCAAGTTGAAGCAAACATTCTACAATGTTTAGTGCTACATCACAGATGCGAGAACTGATGTCATGATTCAGGACAAGATAAACAGCCTTCAGAACCACCTGGAGGGAAAGAAAAAGATGAACAGAAGGTGATTAGTTTGCCTGAACTATCTCTCCCTACATAGATTTTGTTATTCTGTTTAATACATTTCTTTTAGGCTCTTCTATGTACTTAAGCATAAATAATTGAGGTAATTTTCAAATGTGCCTATTTAAATTGCACTGGGACCTTGTGTATGTGCTTAACTTAAGCATAAGTCACCCAAAGACATAAAACGTATGTATAAAAAGAAAATATTGTGTATTATCTCACTGAAGTATTCCAAAAGTTATCATAATACTGTTAATAGGGATACTGAAGAACAGTGAATTAATGGGACCATAATTTTTCACCTAAATGGAAACAGGTTCAACTGATTTTTTAAATCAAAGGGTTTTAATCCTCTGCCTTTCACTTTCTCTCATAATAGATAAAAAACAATGATTCCCACATCCACATAATCAAGAAACATTTAGGCATTCACAATTGTATCATTACTTACACCTCAATTTTAAATGCAAAATATTTGCATGTTTAAATTATGTCTTTTCATTGATTTTAATATATTAAATTATTTGCTGAGCCCATTTTCTAATATGAAATAAAAAATTTTGTGAAATATAATTGTAAACTATAACAACCCTTTCATTTGCTAATAACTATAATCAAGACAGGCATTCTTGAGAATGCAAGTTTAAATCTTTTAATGGGGTTCTATTCATTTTCCCTTGCTACCCAGGAGGTTTGCAGTCATGTTGCTTGTATAATAAAAGAAAATAAACTGAGAACTTTTTACTCTTATTCTAGAGAAACGAGACTTAGCCCATACTCATTTATGTGTATTTTACATAAGCATATTCAGGATTTGCTAATGTTTTTGGATTATAAAAATATTCTGAGGTCAGATCACATCGAATGTAATGCTTGAAAAAAAATAAAAAGGGAAAGTTGCCTAAGTGATGGTTGACACATTTGTGAAATTTTTTATATGGGTAGCCTTTTCATTTTAAGGTTCAACATTGCTAAGAATCTATTTTATAGCATTATAAAAACTGGATCAAAGAGTCATTATCTTTCAAGCTTTGGTAAGAGAAATTCTTGCTTCTTACTGAAAGATCAAGCATGCCATTCTTGTGGACAAAGTTATTCGTCCCATCGATATGTTCCGTGTCCTCTAAGTAGCTGTAGTTTATGCAGGAGTCTGTGAGGCTTCGGGGCAGATTCGCACATGCCAAGGGTTCATGTGGCATCTCCGGGATAGGCACCTGGTTGCAGAGCTTCCTCATATGCTCACTGAAAAAGTCTGCGTAGCCTACGTTGAACGATGCCAAGGTGGTGTTGAAGGTTGCAACTGTGATTGTGGAGATCTGGGATCGCACTAATAAAAAGAAAGCAATGTCTTAATTTTCCCCATATTAGCTCGTAACAGGCAGTTACACTCTCATGGTCACAATCAGAGCTGAGGCTGTTGTAGATGTTTGACGTGCAGTCTCAAAGCTATTCTAAATTCCCACAAAATTGCCTTGGGTCAAAGCCATGTGACATCTGGCAAAAATGAAAGTTATAGAAAATGTGAATTCCAACTGGCTTCCTTAAGACCCGGGCTAGAGTTTAACTTTTGTTTAACAGGTGGATTTTACCCATTCTTAAATGGCAGATCCTACTGATATAGTAGCATCTATGCATATTCAGGATTTACTAATGCTTTTAGCAACTGGTTTAGTTGAAGTATTTCCCCACAAGTTTGTGGCTGGTAAAATATTTGGTTTTATCTAGCATACTTAAGCAACAGCAAATAAGGAAGGCTTTTTTCTCCTTTGTTCAAGAGTAATGGAACACAAATTTGTGGTGGAAGTAACTGGTATCATCAAATACTTGACACATACTCCAGGGAAAAGAGGGCTTCAATTTCTGCTTGTAGGTTAAGAGTAAAGAATAAGAGACCAATTTGGCTTCCACCCAGACACACATGTTTTCTCCACATGAAGCATATAAAGCACTTATTTGAAATAGCAGCTGTCTGAAAAAGGAATCCATAGCCCTGGAAGGCAGTGACTTTCCTCTCATTGAAGGTAGCTAAGACCTTTCGAGGGACATCATACATGGGACCGTGGTACTGAATATAACTGTCTTCTAATTCTCTTCTAGCCCCATGGGTCTATGACCTTTTGAAAACAAAGATGAATGGCTTCCTTCCTCTCTGAGAGGTATGGTGTTTGCAGTGTGCCATCAAATAGCTTTTGCTACAAAGGAAATCCCAAGAATGGCTCACAAATAAATGTAATACATTAAATGTAATACATGAATGCAAGTTTTTAAAAAGTAGAAGGAGCCAGATTGCAATGAAAATGGAATATGGAGTAAAAACAGGAAACAGGAAAAGGAACCTGAACTCCCGCTTGCAGGTGCCGCCTCCGACCCACCTTCCTTGACAGTGTTTTCTCCGTGGCTGTTGGAGTGATCTGGCAGGTCACTCACCAGGGTGTGGTGGGAGTGGGAGTGCCTGGCACTCAGGCTCTCCATCTCCGTGGCTGCATCTGAACTGCCCCGCCGGGTAAATTTCCCTGAGATGGACAAGAGCACCACGAGAGAATTTAAAAATGAAAGATTCTCTGCTGAGATGTTGTCTTTCCAAAGGACAGCAGGGAGGATAAAGGGACATTAGGAAGTGCCTGAGGCACAGCCAAGTAGCAGACATTGGACTTGTTCTAGGAATAGTCAGGGTCAAGATGATGGATGAAGTTGTCTGTCGTAAGATCAGCCCCAATCTAAGCCAAATGTTAGAAACCATATATGGAGTCCCAGAAAGCTCTGTTTCTGAATTTAAGCTGGCTTTCTAAATATGCCATCCAGGAAGGGGGGAGAAGCTTCTTTTACTTTTCTTTATATTTTCCTTTTCTAATATCCAAATTAAAGTCGTTTTTGGAATCACGATGAATCCTAATGCACAAGACCCTTTAAGGCCATGTTTCCACATCTAAAGTCCCTAAGAAATAGGGCCATTACCTGCCTAATTATACACAGTTCTTCCATATTTAATTAAATTATCTGCATTCCTTTGGTACTAGAAGCTAGCATCTGGGCCCACATTTCTTGACTAAACTGTTCAAGAAAGATGCAGATTTGCCCCGGAGCCCTAGATCCAGATTTCTAAACAGGTCACTCAAGCTCTGCCCTACTTTGAAAACTCCTTGTGGTCACCTAAAATGGTGGTTTGCCAGCCTCCTTTTTCAATGCCTCGCCTGTCTTCACCAAGCCCAGAGAAACTTCCGAAGGAGAATGTGCTTCGGGTGGGGGATACATCCAGGTGGTCCTCGTGAAGCAGGAATGGCACCCCCATTCTTCGGGGCCTCCTCTTCCCTGTGTGGTGGAATGGGATAGAGCCTTTCCTCTCTCGGTCTTCTTTGCGACTCTTGAACTATGAGGATGAGAGGTAAAGGATTAGGCACAGCACAAATAATAATAATCTGCAGTAAAATACAGGAATGCTCCAGGAAGAAGAGACCAGAAAGTCAATGAGTATCATCCAATAGAGATGGGTAAAATTTCCATAATGCGTTAAAAGAGCGAAAGACACAAAACAAAATGTAACATATTCCCTGGGTCTTTCTGCTAGCTTGTGTTGTCACTGGACCAGTGGGATCAGCATCAATTGGGAAACTGTTAGAAATACAAATTGTTAGGTTCAACTCCAAATAAACTAGATTAGAAACCTTGAAGGTAAGATCCAGCAGTTGTGTTTTTTTTTTTTTTTTAAGATTTTTATTTATTTGACAGAGAGAAACACAGAGAGGAAACACAAACAGAGGGAATGGGAGAAGGAGAAGCAGGCTTCCCACCTAGCAGGGAGCCTCATGTGGGGCTTGAACCTAGGACCCTGGGATCATGACCTGAGCAGAAGGCAGACGCTTAACGACTGAGCCACCCAGGTGCCCCATCAGCAGTTGTGTTTTAATAAGCCCTGTAGGTAATTCTGATAAATGCTAAAATTTGAGAACCATAGGTTAGAGTATAGGATTCTAGATTCACCACTTGAACCAGCCAGTTATTATCTGTTTCATTTTTCCAGATTGAAATCAATTTTTCCAGCCAGACAACTTCAAGTGTGTGCCACTGTCCATAAAGTCAGAAGATACAAAGCATGAATTGGTACAAACCCATTACTCCTGTCAAACAAGTTCAAAATCCAGTAGAAATAAGAGTTAAGAATTTCTTGAGAAGCTTTTAAAATATACCAATGTCTGGGTCTAACCTGCGGCAATTCTGACCTAATTGGTTTGGGTGCGGGTCTGGGCACAGCAATTTTTTTTATGTCTCCCCAGAGATTCTCATGTGTAGTCAGTACTGAAAACTTATTCCCCTGGATTACTGACATTTTTAGAAAAACTGCAGCCATTGTCTATCATTACATTATCAATGAAGGTAGACATGACTGCTTGTATAGCAACACTCTGAGCTCATATGTAAGTTAACAATATGTTCTGTGTCTTTCATGAACACAGCTGAACTAATCATTTTGAAAAATAGAAAATGAAGCTACTACACATACATTATTCTACACATTATATCCTAGCTGATTGGTTCCATATATTTACAAAAAGAGAGATGGAATGGTAGATTCATAAAGGCATGACCTAGCTTGAACAAGACCTGGTTTTGAGTTTGGACTCAACCTTTCACAAACTGCTAAAATTTCTAAGGCTTAGCTCCTTTCTTTTTTGAGAATAATTAACATTCATTGAGTACTAACTAAGTGCCAGGCACAGGGAGGAATTTACAGGTATTATCTTAATCCTCATAACCTTTTGAAGTAAGTATGTTATGTATCCAATTTACAAATGAAGGAACTGATACTTAGTATCGTTTGACCAGGATCACAGAGGTTGAAGGTGGCAGAGCAAGAATTTGAACACTGGTTAGGTGACTCCCAAGTGTACACTTGACTCTGCTTTTAATTTCTCATTTTTAGAGGTCTAATGATGCATAGTAAATGTTTATTGAATGGAAACCTATGAGATGGCCTATAAAAAGTTGTGAGGGTAGAAAATTTAGTGATTTGTTGTAAGGATTTACTACTTTATTTACAGAGTTTTGTTTGTTTTGTTGTCTTTAAACTAGAGATGACCTCAAGAATAAATGTTCCATGATGATCCCATCACTCTGAATAAGACTTCAGTAAGGCTCATTTTCTTAGGTGCAAAATGTAGAAATTTAGAATCTCATTGGATTAAATGAGAACCATTTATATAAAATCCTTGATAAAATGAGAGGAACCGTACAAATATAAGTCGCTATCATGGCTACCACAACTATTTTCACTACCACTGAAAGCACTCTACACACTTCATCAGAATTGAGCTTGGTAACATTAAGAATGGGAAACATTCATGCATACAGAGGGACTCACACAAGGTCATGCTGCAAACCAGTGCTATAAGTGGGGGCTGACTTCTCTCCTCAATGTTCCTTTCCCAGCCTTACCCATTCTGTAGCATGACCTCATATCCTACTGATTTTTTTTTCCAAGTACCAAAATATTATAGAGCTTAAATGGTTCTACTCACCTTCTTAAAAATGTTCATGCCAAGGTCTGAAGAAAGATCTGGGACTGCAGACCTACGTAAATTGGTCAACGAAACCTTAGAAAAGGCCTCAGGGCTAAGAGATTTTTCCTCTTCATTACACTTCATGGTGAGGTCCTTAATAGACAATAAAGGCAACTTCACAATCAAGGACTTAGGGCTTTATATCCAAAGACTTTTCTTATTGAGATGTCATATTTTTAATAGGGGTGTGCCTAATGTTTTGATATCTATGAACTGTTTAACTTGTAGTTCTAGACTTTTAGAATCCATATCCTGCTTTGGAGGAGATATGTTATATATTAACTGTAACCCCTGTTTGGAGTTTTTAACAGTGAGAACATGAAGCTTCATATTTGGGAAAGCCAAGAAAGGTATCTCGTTTTCTCGTTCCATTAAAAAAAAGTTTTTCTGTTTAATGGTTCACCAAAAGAGATTTTTATTTTGGGCAGAATCATCTACTACTAAAACAGAATATCTCTCTTTTTCACTCTAATATTGCTCATGTTTACTTTCAGAATATATAGACATTTTCAGATATAGCCAATTCATAATTAATTAAACCAAACAACTGGGACACACTGCAAATCACCATTTTTCTCTACATATCCAACACACATGGTATCAATGAGAAAGAGGGAAAGAAAAAGTGTTCAAGCCGGTATTAGCACATTCATTTATCAAAAAGTGATTTTCAGGGGGATGTCATCAAATCAGGATATAGTCAGTTTATTTTTCCAAACATCTATAATAAATAGGAAGACTATATGTCCAAAGGAAATATTTCTAATTATGATATTGAGGTGCTAAAAATTTTGAGCTATGCAAAAGAAGGTAAACCATGTTCAGTAAAATGCTAGTGTCACACATTTCATGATATCAGTAATCAACAGTTGTATGAGAGAACTATCTATTGACTAGCACTTCAGTTGGGAAATTTTCCATTATTCTGGATCAACAGAGCCTAAACTCTAGATTAGTGTGAGTTAGAGGTATTTAGATACCCTTCTTTGAATGGTAAATTAAATGCTAAGAAAGAACCCAAATTATCTAGCAATAAAAGATAAAAGGGAAAGGATAATAATATCAGAGTAACCCACTAATAAGTAGTCAGCACTGGAATAAAGAGATGGATGAATAGGAGAAAAAAAGAATCTGTTATGGCCAAAGTTGTTGATTCAAAAGACAATGCACTGAGTTTCTCTTACTTGGGTTTTGTGGGTGTTCACTAGTGAGGGAGCTGCTGCCACCATCGAGCTGCTCCTGGGTCTGGGCAAGAGAGGAATATCTGGCTCTGGAGGCTTTTCAGGCTTCTCTTCCAACATATGCCGCAGCCTTTGTAGATAATACATCAGAGACCACTGAGTGCCTTCCTCAGACCAGTGGGGCTGGAGTAGGCAGCGAAGAACAGCAACGTCAAAGTAGGTGGCATAGCGGGACCTTTGGCATGGAGGTATCACAAGAGAGGCTCTGTTTCCAATGACAGAAAGATGATTATATTGGCAAACATCCCAAGGGGTGACACAACATGGTTTATAGCTTTACTTTTCTCATTTGTTTACTTATTCATCCACTTATCTTTTGTGTAGTTTACTCTACTATACCCACAACTGGTCCCACTCATTTCACTTTTGCTAGATACTTCCCAGAAGTAGAGAGGTTAGAAAGAGTTTTGAAGGGTAACTAGGAATCAGCTAGGCTAAGTTGAGGGTGGGGCAGGAGGGTAGATCAGCATTTCGGTCAGAGGAAACCATGCCTACAAATGTGGAGTTAGAAGAAGTCATGAGTTTTGAGTAGGTGGGGGAGAGTAAGCAACTGGTATTAGTTGGTGAGTAATTTGGGTGGTGGGTGTTGAGGAGAATCTATAGAAATAAATGAGTTTCAGATCGTGATGTTCCTTTTATACAATGTTATCAGTTTGGTTTTTTTCTTTAACCTTGATAGAAATGGGAATATTTGTGTACCTTATTGGCTATCTTAATCAATTATTGGTGTTAATACCATGTAAAATAACCAAAGAACCTGCAAAGTACTAAATAAGCAGAAGTTATATTATGAAGAAAATTTTCAAAATTTTGAAATCATTTTGAGAACTCTATATATTCATATAAAATAGCAAAACTAATTTGAAAAAAATCTCAAGGTTCTGAAATTTTATTACTCAATTTAAACACATGATATAGTTACTATTTAGTGTTTAACTTAATTACACTATAAAATAGATTTAAACAATTATTAAATATACTACATCATCCTAGGTACCTTAGGGGATGTGAAGATATAGAAGTTTAACTTCTTCATCTTGAGTAACATATGGTCCAGGGAATGATAGCTAGCCAATAAATAACAAATTATAAACTGAGAGCTCCTAAGATCCAAAATGAAACCTTAAATCTAAAATCTAAACTTAACTCCCAAACCCAGTTTCTTCCCGAGTTAGGGTATGCAAAAGGGAAATTTTTGTACCCTGCTATCAACTAGCAAATGGCACAGCCCACACATGAAGAATTTGAAAAAAAAAAAAAAAAATGCAACCATTAAGAAGTGACAAGATTTCCTGAATTTTCCAGACCATATTTTTTGAACTGAAGGTTATGGCTCTTGATTGGTTCAAGAAATTAATTCAGAAGTATATGACTACTATTGAGGGGAGGAGGCAAGATGGCGAAGTAGCAGGCTGAGACTACTTCAGGTAGCGGGAGATCAGCTAGATAGCTTATCTAAAGATTGCAAACACCTACAAATCCAACGGGAGATCGAAGAGAAGAAGAACAGCAACTCTAGAAACAGAAAATCAACCACTTTCTGAAAGGTAGGACTGGCGGAGAAGTGAATCCAAAGCGACGGGAAGATAGACCGCGGGGGGAGGGGCCGGCTCCCGGCAAGCGGCGGAGCAACGGAGCACAAAATCGGGACTTTTAAAAGTCTGTTCCGCTGAGGGACATCGCTCCAGAGGCTTAACCGGGGTGAAGCCCACGCGGGGTCAGCGTGGCCTCAGGTCCCGCAGGGTCACAGAAGGATCGGGGGTGTCTGAGTGTCGCAGAGCTTACAGGTATTAGAACAGGGAAGCCGGCTACAGAGACAGAGCCGAGGAGTGAGCTCTAAGCTCTGGGTTACCTTGAAGCGGTCGCAGGCTCGGTCAGCTCGGAGTGCGGCCAGAGGCAGGGTGATGGGAGTAAATCGGCGCTGTTCTCTGAGGGCACACTGAGGAGTGGGGCCCGGGCTCTCGGCTCCTCTGGGCCGGAGACCGGGAGGCCGCCATCTTCATTCCCGCCCTCCGGAACTCTACGGAAAGCGCTCAGGGAACTAAAGCTCCCGAAAGCAAACCCAAGCGGATTACTCAGCCCGGCCCCGGGTAAGGGCGGTGCAACTCCGCCCGGGGCAAAGACACTTGAGAATCACCACAACAGGCCCCTCCCCCAGAAGATCAACAAGAAGCCCAGCCAGCACCAAGTTCACCTACCAAGGAGTGTAGTTTCAATACCAAGGAGAGCAGCGGAATTCCAGAGGAGGAGAAAGCAAAGCACGGAACTCATGGCTTTCTCCCCATGATTCTTTAGCCTTGCAGTTAATTTTTTTTTCTTTTTCAATTTTTTTTTCTCTTCTTCTGCCAAATTTTTTTTAACTTTTACCCTTTTCTTTTTTAACGTTTTTTAACTAGTTTATCTAATATACATATATTTTTTTCTTTTTTAATATTTTTTCTTTATTCGTTTTCTTTTTTTAATTGTTTTTGTTTTTTGTTTTTTCTTTCTGAACCTCTTTCTGAACCTTTCTCCCCCCTCACGATTTGGGATCTCTTCTGATTTGGTTAAAGCATATTTTCCTGGGGTTGTTGCCACCTTTTTAGTATTTTACTTGCTTGTTCATATACTCTTATCTGGACAAAATGACAAGGCAGAAAAATTCACTACAAAAAAAAAAAAACAAGAGTCAGTACCAAAGGCTAGGGATCTAATCAATACAGACATTGGTAATATGTCAGATCTAGAGTTCAGAATGACGATTCTCAAGGTTCTAGCTGGGCTCAAAAAAGGCATGGAAGATATTAGAGAAATCCCCTCCGGACAGTTAAAAGCCCTTTCTGGAGAAATAAAAGAACTAAAATCTAACCAAGTTGAAATCAAAAAAGCTATTAATGAGGTGCAATAAAAAATGGAGGCTCTCACTGCTAGGATAAATGAGGCAGAAGAAAGAATTAGCGATATAGAAGACCAAATGACAGAGAATAAAGAAGCTGAGCAAAAGAGGGACAAACAGCTACTGGACCACGAGGGGAGAATTTGAGAGATAAGTGACACCATAAGATGAAACAACATTAAAATAATTGGGATTCCAGAAGAAGAGGAAACAGAGAGGGGAGCAGAAGGTATATTGGAGAGAATTATTGGAGAGAATTTCCCCAATATGGCAAAGGGAACAAGAATCAAAATCCAGGAGGTTCAGAGAACCCCCCTCAAAATCAATAAGAATAGGTCCACACCCCGTCACCTAATAGTAAAATTTACAAGTCTTAGTGACAAAGAGAAGATCCTGAAAGCAGCCCGGGAAAAGAAGTCTGTAACGTATAATGGTAAAAATATTAGATTGGCAGCAGACTTATCCACAGAGACCTGGCAGGCCAGAAAGAGCTGGCATGATATATTCAGAGTACTAAATGAGAAAAACATGCAGCCAAGAATACTATATCCAGCTAGGCTATCATTGAAAATAGAAGGAGAGATTAAAAGCTTCCAGGACAAACAAAAACTGAAAGAATTTGCAAACACCAAACCAGCTCTACAGGAAATATTGAAAGGGGTCCTCTAAGCAAAGAGAGACCCTAAAAGTAGTAGATCAGAAAGAAACAGAGACAATATACAGTAACAGTCACCTTACAGGCAATACAATGGCACTAAATTCATATCTCTCAATAGTTACCCTGAATGTTAATGGGCTAAATGCCCCAATCAAAAGACGCAGGGTATCGGAATGGATAAAAAAACAAAACCCATCTATATGTTGCCTACAAGAAACTCATTTTAAACCCGAAGTCACCTCCAGATTTAAAGTGAGGGGGTGGAAAAGAATTTACCATGCTAATGGACATCAGAAGAAAGCAGGAGGAGTGGAAATTCTTATATCAGATCAATTAAATTTTAAGCCAAAGACTATAATAAGAGATGAGGAAGGACACTATATCATACTCAAAGGATCTGTCCAACAAGAAGATCTAACAATTTTAAATATCTATGCCCCTAACGTGGGAGCAGCCAACTATATAAACCAATTAATAACAAAATCAAAGAAACACATCAACAATAATATGATAATAGTAGGGGACTTTAACACTCCCCTCACTGAAATGGACAGATCATCCAAGCAAAAGATCAACAAGGAAATCAAGGCCTTAAATGACACACTGGACCAGATGGACATCACAGATATATTCAGAACATTCCATCCCAAAGCAACAGAATACACATTTTCTCTAGTGCACATGGAACATTCTCCAGAATAGATCACATCCTCGGTCCTAAATCAGGTCTCAACTGGTATCAAAAGATTGGGATCATTCCCTGCATATTTTCAGACCACAATGCTCTGAAGCTAGAACTCAATCACAAGAAGAAATTTGGAAAGAACCCAAATACATGGAGACAACATCCTTTTAAAGAATGAATGGGTCAACCAGGAAATTAAAGAAGAATTGAAAAAATTCATGGAAACAAATGATAATGAAAACACAACGGTTCAGAATCTGTGGGACACAACAAAGGCAGTCCTGAGAGGAAAATATATAGCGGTACAAGCCTTTCTCAAGAAACAAGAAAGGTCTCAGGTACACAACCTAACCCTACACCTAAAGGAGCTGGAGAAAGAACAAGAAAGAAACCCTAAACCCAGCAGGAGAAGAGAAATCTTAAAGATCAGAGCAGAAATCAATGAAATAGAAACCAAAAAAACAATAGAACAAATCAACGAAACTAGGAGCTGGTTCTTTGAAAGAATTAATAAGATTGATAAACCCCTGGCCAGACTTATCAAAAAGAAAAGAGAAAGGACCCAAATAAATAAAATCATGAATGAAAGAGGAGAGATCACAACTAACACCAAAGAAATACAGACAACTATAAGAACATACTATGAGCAACTCTACACCAACAAGTTTGACAATCTGGAAGAAATGGATGCATTCCTAGAGACATATAAACTACCATAACTGAACCAGGAAGAAATAGAAAGCCTGAACAGACACATAACCAGTAAGGAGATTGAAACAGTCATCAAAAATCTCCAAACAAACAAAAGCCCAGGGCCAGACAGCTTCCCGGGGGAATTCTACCAAACATTTAAAGAAGAACTAATTCCTATTCTCCTGAAACTGTTCCAAAAAATAGAAATGGAAGGAAAACTTCCAAACTCATTTTATGAGGCCAGCATCACCTTGATCCCAAAACCACACAAGGATCCCATCAAAAAAGAGAACT